GGTGGGAAGAGGCAGGGAGGAAGCAACTTACCCTCCCTCTTCTCCTGCCTCCTCCTGGCTGAATGAGGGCTGGAAGCGGGGCGGCCGGAAGCAGGGGGCGGGGCTTCGTCATGTGCCTCGCCCCCTGCACCTCACCCGGGGGAACTGTGTTCCCCCGCGATACCCCCCGAAATGATCTCTGGGCGACACACCTCTAATGTAGCCAATCCTCCAAGAGCTTACAGAGCTCTTCTTACAGGGGCTACTGTAAGCTCTTGGAGGATTGGCTACATTAGGGGCGTGTCGCCTAATATGCAAAGGCGTTCCTGCTACAAAAAGAGCCCCACTAAATTATGCCTATAACCGAAATCTGGAGGTAAATCTGGGGGGGAAATTAAATTTAAAAAAAAATTATACAGGAAACATTTCTCAACGAGACCTCATCTATTTGTCTTCGTAATCTCTGGTTCTGGGAAACATCCGAGAAGACCTTAGAAGGGCCTGTAGAAAGCTCAAGAAAGCACTCCTCATGTCATGAAAAGAAAGGGAGAAAAAGAGACTCAGTCAGGCAAAGAAGGCCTCCGGCCAGCAGAGTGCGCTGTGGAACAACACTTACCATTAACAGCCAGGTTGTACCTCGCTTCTGAGGTGCCCATGATATTGGTGGCGCTGCAGATGTAGGTCCCGCTGTCACTCTTGTTCAAAGAGGGGATGAGAAGCATGTTGTCTTGGGTCACTGTCAAGGGTGCCTCAACACCCTCCTTCCGCCAAGCGAACGCCTGGGGGCTGAGAAGAGAGAACGGCCAATTAAGAGATCCCAAGACTGTGTCTGTGGGGAACATGCAAGGCCAAGTATCTGGGGAACCCCCGAGATATCATTTGGCCTCAGAATGCTTTATTGCATGTAGAGTCACGGAGGGATCGGGATTGCTGGCCTCCAGGTGGGGGCTGGAGATCTCCTGGGATCACCACTGATTACCAGATGAGCAAGATCAGATCCCCTGGAGAAAATGGATGCTTTGGAGGGTGGGCTCTGTGGCCTTGTACCCTGCTGAAGTCCCTCCCCTCCATAAACCCCACCCACTCCAGGCTCCACACCCAAATTTCCAGGTTTTGGCCACCCTTGGAAAAAAGGGCCACTTTGGAAGGGGGATCAATAGGATTATACCCTATTGATGCCCCTCCCCTCCCCAAGGCCTGCCCTCCTCAGACTCCACCCCCAAAATCTCGAGGTGTTTCCCAACCTGGAGCTGGTGACCCTGAGAGGGACCAAGAGGACTAAAACCGAAGGTTCTGCCCCCCTCCCCTTGGCCCCAAATTTCAGGGAGAAGAAGAAGAAGAAGAAGAATAAGAAGAGATTGGATTTATACCCCGCCCTTCACTCAGAGTCTCAGAGCGGTTTACAATCTCCTTTCCCTTCCCCTCCCCACAACAGACTCCCTGTGAGGTAGGTGGGGCTGAGAGAGCTCTTTTGAGAACTGCCCTTGAGAGAACAGCTCTGAAAGAACTTAGGACTGACCCAAGGTCACACCAGCAGCTACATGTGGAGGAGTGGGGAATCAAACCCAGTCGTCCCAGATTAAAGTCCACGCTCTTAACCACTACGCCAAAATGCTGGCTCTCATCCTTAAACCGGTGATATTGAACCTTAACGGGTGATATTGTGTCATCAGAATCCAGCATGTGAGAACCAGTTTGGGTCTAGTGCTTCGAGTGCTGGAGCAGGAATCTGAGAGACGCAGGTTTGAACCCCCACCCTGCCATGAGCACATGAGGTCAAGTCACATGAACATATGGAGCGGCCTTACACTGAGTCAGACCTTTCGTCCACCAAAGTCGGTATTGCCTACTCAGACTGGCAGCCGCTCTCCAGGTGTCTCACGCAAAGGTCTTTCACATCACCTACTGCCTGGTCCTTTTAAAAATGGGGACGCCGGGGACTGAACCTGGGACCTTCTGACTGCCAAGCAGATGCTCTGCCACTCAGCCACGGTCCCCTCCCAAATGGAGATGCTGGGGATTGAACCCGGGACCTTCCGCCTGCAAAGCAGAGGCTCTTCCGCTGATCCACAGCCCCTCCCTTCCTGTGGAAGCTCACTGGGTGACCTTGGGTCAGTCACTCTCTCTCAGGCTAACCTGCCTTGCCGGGTTGTTGTGAGGATAAAACAGAGAATATTCTAAGCAGGTTTGAATCACCGGCTCTTTTTGTAGCAGGAACTCCTTTGCATATTAGGCGACACACCCCTAATGTAGCCAATCCTCCAAGAGCTTACAGTAGCCCCTGCAAGAAGAGCTCTGTAAGCTCTTGGAGGATTGGCTACATTAGGGGTTTGTCGCCTAATATGCAAAGGAGTTCCTGCTACGAAAAGAGCCCTGGGCGACACACCCCTAATGTAGCCAATCCTCCAAGAGCTTACAGAGCTCTTCTTACAGGGTCTACTGTAAGCTCTTGGAGGATTGGCTACATTAGGGGTGTGTCGCCAAATATGCAAAGGAGATCCTGCTACAAAAAGAGCCGAAACGCACCTGGCATTGCCAGGTGAGTGGGGAGTTGCCACACCCCAGGGGAAAAGCCAGAAGGGGGAGTGGGTGTTTCAGCTTTAGACACTGTGCCTCAGCTTACCTGCCACAGGCCACTGCCCATGGCAGAGACACTGGTGACTGTGAAATACATGACGCTTCCTAATGCAGAGTCAGATCATTGGCTTACCAAAGTTCAGTACTCTCTGCTCTGGCTGGCAGCCGCTTTCCAGGGTCTCAGCCAGAGGTCTTTCACATCTCCTACGACCTGATCCTTTTCACAGGAGATGCTGGGGACTGAACCTGGGAACTTCTGCACTCCAAGCAGTGGCTCTACCACTGAGCCACACAGGCCTGTGCTAAAGCCAACGGCCCTTCTTCCTCCCAGGGCTGTGTGCCCCGCTGCCCCATTCCTACCTCTGTGGGCTTTTCATTATTCCCCCCCCCCTTTGCTTCCATTACTTACATGTGTGCGCATTGATAAAAACTTAGTCCAAAAAGTCATCTGGATGCGACTGATTGCCTGGGTGGTTGTCCTAAAAAGGGGAGGGTGTTTTCACAGTGTACAGGAGTTCAAACGTACACCATGAAAGCATCACACCAGAAGAATTTGGGAACAATCCTATGTACGATGATGCTGGCTCAGATTCTGTGGACCCATTCCATTGACAGATGTTCCCCCCACTAGGGTGGCCAGCCTCCAGGTGGGGCCTGGGGATCTCCCGCTTTTACAACTGATCTCCAGTGGACGGAAATCAGTTTCCCAGGAGAAAACGGCTGCTTTGAAGGGTGGACTCTGTGGCATTGTACTATGCTGAGGCCCCTCACCTCCCCAAACCCCGCCCTCTCTTGGCTCCAACCCAAAGTCTCCAGGTATTTTACAACCCAGACCTGGCAACCCTACCACACACACCCCACACACATAAGGAGCTGTCCGCCTGGTTGCCTTGCAAGAGAGGTAAGCACGCCATGGTTTGTGGGAAGAACCTGCCGGATCTGACCCACTGCTTTTGTTTTGTTTACAGTCTTTTATCAATGCACACGGAAGCCGAGGGACATAAAAAGAGAGCGGCGCAAACAAGCGGCAGGAATCGAACACGGCCGCCGACTGTGCACAGTCCAATTCTGGAATTAATAAATGTTGCGTGGAGAGAAATTCTGCCGCCGAGGAATGGGAAGGGGGCGGGAATCCATTCATCTCAGAACTGAACAGAAGAGCCGATCTGGAGTAGGGGTGGGTGTGCGACGGAGGGCGGAAGGAGAGAAAGTCTTACGCTGGGTTGCCTTGTCCGTTGCACAGCAGCCTCAGGTTGTCTCCTTCTCGTGGGTACGTGGGCTGTGGCTCGATAGAAGCGACGGGCACAACTGGAGAGACAAAGACAGACCAAATGGTTCCTTTGGATTGGCCATTGATCGCCTTGCACACGATCCCCGGAGTTCGAGCTGTCAAACATGACCCAGTGCATGGTGCATGGTGCGGCGATCACCCTTAAAGTCCCACCTGTCCTCTGGGGCTCTGAACCAATGCTCCCTCTAAGCTGTGGAGTCCTGTGAGCACAAATTCCACTTTGTGAGCTACTGGCGTTAAAGTTGTGAGCCGGCCGTTTGGCTCCTGGATAAATTGGTTTGCTCTGGAACCCCTCCTCCCTGAGCTAAGACAAAAATATGGGAACCAGAGGCTACAATACTGTGAGCTAGCTCACACTAACTCAGCTTGGAGGGAACACTGCTCGGAACCAATCCTTGTGAGTTAGGCCTCGTGCAAATCCAAGTGACTGTCAGCCAATCCGAGCCCTTGGAACTCCATGCGGGATGGGAGGGGGCAAGCCGACCTCAGCTTAAGAAAGGGGGAGAAACCTTTTTTTGTCTTTCGGAGAGGGATTTCGCGGCTCCGGAAAGGAGCGTCGGCTTAGCCAAGCTTTTCTTTGGCTTTTTAGTTAGGGTTTGGGAGTCGGCTTAGGGAAGAAAGCTCGTTCTTGTGTGACAAATGAGCATCCTGCCAAGGGCCTGTCATTCCTAAATGGTCTGGGTAGGTTCTGTGGAAAGGGGCTCCGTGAAGAGAAAAGAGCAGCCTCCAACCTGCTGAGGGGTCCTGTCCCGAGAAAGGGGAATCAGATTTCCCCTCGGGGGTTATTTACTTTAATTTTGAGCCGGTTTTACTTTATATATATTAAGTTATCCACACATCACATTTATTAAACACTGATTTAAAGGTAAAGGTCTCCCTTGCTCGAAAGCCAGTCGAATCCGACTCTAGGGTTGCGGTGCTCATCTTCGTTTCAAAGCCGAAGAGCCAGCGCTGTCCGAAGACATTTCCGTGGTCATGTGGCCGGCATGACTAAACACCAAAGCGCACGGAACGCTGTTACCTTCCCACCGAAGTGGTACCTATTTATCTACTTGTAATTTCTTGCTTTCGAACTGCTAGGTTGGCAGGAGCTGGAACTAGAGACGGGAGCTCACTCCGTCATGCGGCACACTCGGGTCTCGAACTGCAGAACTACCGACCTTCCACAGCCTGCAGTTCAGCGTCTTAACCACTTGAGCCACCGCAGCTCCTATTAAACACTTTATTTCCTGGTAAATAAACCTTTCCTGTTCATCTCCATCTTTGTCTTGTCTGTCAGGTCAAAAAGCTAAGAAGCAGGGGTCTCTGCTTCATATTTGCCAATATACCTCTATTTACCTCACAGCCTTGGTCGAGCAGGATTCCAAATGAGAGATCTTCAGGGAGCACACAGCTGACATGCTACTAATCTTTATTTTAAAATGTGTGTCCTTTTTTATTCAGTTGTGGGTGGTTGGGGTATAAAGAATCCATAGGAGAGGATAAAGTGGGGGCGGGGGCTGGATATCCTTCAGTCCAGAAGGCAGTTGCCTCAGGGCCCTACATCTACTCTCTCTCTCGCCTTCGGGACTATCTCTCCCCATATGGGCCCCGTAGAGCACTGAGGTACACACATCAACACCTTTTGGTAGTCCCTGGCCTAGGGTTGCCAAGTCGGGTGTTGCGCCGCAGCGGGGGACTCCCGGCTGGGGGCGTCAGGGGAAGAAAAAGAGATGTGCGTCGTACGCACATGCCCTCAGCATGCCCGGCGTGGTCGTGTCACTTCCGGGTGATGTGCACGTCGGGGTGGGGCTCCCCCCGGGGCCCGATCTGCCGCCGGCAGGTAACGGGCCTCTAGAGCGGGTTTTTCCCTGCCCCCCCGGGGGACTTGGCAAGCCTACCCTGGCCCCAGGGACGTCCAACTAGCCTCAAGTACGGCCAGGACCTTTTTGGCCCTGGCTCCCATCTGGTCGAATGCACTCCCGTTTGAGATAAGGGACCTGGGGAATCTATTACAGTTCCGCTGGGCCTGCAAGACAGAACTCCTCCACCGGCTAATCTCCCATTAGTGGCCTGGATCGAAATAGACATCTGGGTACCCGCTGTTGTATCTTAATTGATCTGATCGACATCTTAACTGACATCTGATCTAATTTATTTTACATGGTATTTTATGATTCTATGCCGTTTTTTAAAGTTGTTTTTTAATTAGATTGTATTTTTGAAATTTTATTGTACTTATCGAAATGTGGTGACCCGCCCTGAGCCCCTTTACGGAATGGGCGGGATATAAATGCGACAAATAAATAAATAATAAAATTTTAAAAATATTGATATTGTATTGATATTGATGTAACCTTCCCTGAGCTCGCTTGCAGGAAGGGCGCGATATAACTCAATTAAATAAATAAATAAACCAGCCATGACAAATGGCTTTGGTACCGCAGATCCAGATGACGCGGCCCTATCCACTGATTTAAAGGTAAAGGTTTCCCTTGCTTGAAAGCTAGTTTGATATTGATGTAACCTTCCCTGAGCTTGCTTGCAGGAAGGGCGGGATATAAACTCCATTAAATAAATAAACCAGCCATGACAACTGGCTTTGGTACCGCAGATCCCGATGACGCGGCCCTATCCACTGATTTAAAGGTAAAGGTTTCCCTTGCTTGAAAGCTAGTTGTATCTGACTCTAGGGGGTGGTGCTCGTATCTGTTTCCAAGCCGAAGAGCCAGCGCTGTCCGACAACTTCTCTGTGGTCATGTGGCCTGCATGACTAAACGCAGAGGCGCACAGAATGCAGTTCCTTTCCCACTGAAGTGGTACCTATTTATCTACTTGCAGTCTCTTGCTTTTGAACTGCTACGTTGGCAGGAGCTGGGACCAGAGACGGGAGCTCACTCCGTCATGCGGCACTCAGGTCTTGAACTGCCGAGCTACCGACCTTCCGGTCTACAGCTCAGCATCTTAACCTCTGAGCCAACGCGGCCTTATCTACTGGTTTACAATCTCATAAATCCTGGCACATGAGAGGAGGGGGATTAGAAGGGAGGGGGCGCATCGGTCGCCAAAATGCCAATCAAGGAAGGACAAAGCAGAATCAGGAGGGAGAAAGAAAAAAAACAACACGTTTTCAGTAAGTTCCTAAACAAAAGGAAGACGAGATGCCGGCTGGGCGGATGGCGGGAAGAGTCTTCTAAGCATCCGAAGCAGAGAGATGAAAAAGGAACGAGGCTGAGAAATCATGAAAAAAAAATACCCAGCGAGATTTAAAAAGATTAGCTCGAGAGCAAAGAGAGGAAGAAAGAAGGAAGAACAGCAGGCCCAGATGAGAGATAACAAGGATGGAGAACGGGGAAGCTGCCGAGAGTCTTTCTTAAGCGCACATTTTTAAAGACATGTTGTTAAAACAGTTCTCATATGCCCAGATTTACAAAAGCAAGGGAAACACAATAAATTAGAAATGGAGTTGGGTCCACCAGAATGGAGCCATCGCAACGGACGAGGCCGCTGCCGGATCCTCTTGTTGTGGCGTTCCAAAGGTTTTGCTGAGCAGTCGGGTTAGAATGGATAAAAGGAAGTCCTTCTTCACCCAAAGAGTGATTAACACATGGAATTCACTGCCAAAGGAGGTGGCAGCAGCTACAAGCATAGATGGCTTCAAGAGGGAATTGGATAAACAGTATGGAGCAGAGGTCCATCAGTGGCTATTAGCCACAAGATAGGAACTCTCGGCCTGGGGCAAGTGATGCTCTTGCTCTGTATTCTTGATATTTTTTGAGCTTGGGGGGGGGGGAGGCAGCAGTGGGAGGGCTTCTAGTGTCCTGGCCCCACTGCTGGAACGCCTGATGGCACCTGGCGTTTTTGGCTACTGTGTGACAGAGTGTTGGACTTGATGGGCCACTGGCCTGATCCAACATTGGCTTCTCTTATGTTCTTATGTAATTTTCTTTTAAGTCTGGCCCCCGGTTAAAACTGCCTTGTTTGTCAAAATCAGTCATTTTGACTGATTTACTAATTGATTCCATCTGCCTAAGTTTAAATATGAATTCAAGAGCTCGGAAGGAAAAAAAGAAAAAGATGACCCTTTTCTCGCTTTCAGATGAAGCGTGTATCAGGCCCCACCTTAGAAAAGGCCCCTCCATCCTGTCTACGCGACGAGAATGCCTCTTCTGGGATGGCGTGTGCCTCCGGCAGTTCTCAAAAATCCTTGCCTTTAAAATATTATTTTGCGGGAAAATAATAGTGGTCTGATTAAACAGGGCATAGATTTTTCATCCGTCAACAGATTTCTGCTTTGTCGATTAATCATCCGAGAGTTTTAATCCATTTGTGGATCGATGAAAGCTGCCCACATTCATATGTGACTAAACAATGGTTCAGAAAGGGGGGGAAAACCCTACTTTGTTATTCTATGATGTCCATCAATTCTCGCGCTAGAAGAAGCATTCCTTTCTGTGTGTGTGTGGAAGAAGAAATGCCTCTTTTGAGAGGAGGCCTGCTCTCCACGAACTTTGTTGCGAAAACATTTTTCTAAACCCACATTTACAAAAGTAACGAAAACATAACACATTTCAAGTTATCAAAGTTGGAGTCCAGTGGCACCTTGAAGACCAACAAAGTTTTATTCATAAGAACATAAGATCCAACAATGTTGGATCAGGCCAAAGGCCCATCCAGTCCAACACTCTGTGTCACACAGTGGCCAAAAATACCTGGTGCCATCAGGAGGTCCACCAGTGGGGCCAGGACATTAGAAGCACTCCCACTGTTGACCCCCCCAAGCACCAAGAAGACAGAGCATCACTTGCCCCAGAGTCCCGTTCTATACCTTGTGGCTAATAGCAAATGATGGACCTCTGCTCCATATAAGAACATAAGAGAACCCAATGCTGGATCAGGCCAAAGGCCCATCCAGTCCAACACTCTATATCACACAGTGGCCAGAAATAGCAGGTGCCATCAGGAGGTCCACCAGTGTGGCCAGGACATTAGAGACACTCCCACTGTTGACCCCCCCAAGCACCAAGAAGACAGAGCATCACTTGCTCCAGAGTCCCGTTCTATACCTTGTGGCTAATAGCAAATGATGGACCTCTGCTCCATATAAGAACATAAGAGATGCCAATGTTGGATCAGGCCAAAGGCCCATCCAGTCCAACACTCTGTGTCACACAGTGGCCAGAAATACCAGGTGCCATCAGGAGGTCCACCAGTGGGGCATAAGCTTTCATATGCATGCAAACGTCTTCAAGCACACGAAAGTTCATACCTTGAATAAAACTTTGTTGGTCTTAAAGGTGCCACGGGACTCAAACTTTGCTCTGCTGCTTCAGACCAACATGGCTACCCACCTGAATCACATGTCAGGTTATAATATTTAA